CATTACACAGACTACGCAGACTACTCAGACTCTTGTCTAACAACTAAAAACGCTGTCGACGTTACAGCAAGACCCTGTGCAAGGCAAACTGAGAACATCCTAGCCGAATTGCTTATAGTTGTTGTCTTTACCGAAGCCTCGTATCCTCTCGGTGTAACTTCTAAGAACAGATACCAACCCTTTACTTTATTGTGGACTACCCATTCACCAAATCCACCTTGTCGTCTAACCTAAGGATTCCTTGTTTATTAACTACCATCTGTGGCCTCTTTAACAACACTTTATATTCTCGAGTCGGTCTTATCAACCACTTTATCAAACTTCATTTTAATGGCTACCGGTGCTTCTTCATAGCGATACTTCGGAGCCGGGTTTATTTAACCTACGCTCAAATTAATGGTGTTAAACACACCCTCAGCGTTGAAGTCGAGTTGCCTTGCTACCCCTTGCAGGTAGTGTCCATTTTACATAGGGTCACTCCATACTTCATTTCGGTTATAAAATTCATTATATATACTTTCAATTGCCATTAAGGCTTGTTACCTCTTAACTCTTAATTCTGCCCTTACCTAATAGCCCCCACGATGTCTTCGTCGACGAAAGCTAGCCAAACTCTAGCAAAGGTCTTAGGGATCAAACTCGAAGACCCCGATGTAGACAATGTAACTAGAGGAGAATCGGTCTTCTCGACGCATACGGCAGACAGTTTCGTCGAGCAGCAACCCACAAGCGCAGAATGGCTCGCAGAAATTACGCCGTCGGGACGAGATATGCTAAACTATTTCAAGTCATTATTCCCCTTTTTATCTTGGATCGGGTTTTACAACTTACAATGGTTTGTGGGCGATCTCGTTGCAGGTATGTTCTATCGATTCGGCTATAACAGGTAGAGTATAACTAACTTCTTGTCAGGAATAACTATTGGTGCAGTCGTTGTGCCACAAGGAATGGCCTACGCCAAGCTGGCTAATCTACCAGTGCAATTTGGTTTATATTCATCGTTCATGGGCGTTCTTATCTACTGGTTTTTTGCTACTTCCAAAGATATTACTATAGGAGTACGTCAAGGTAGAGCTCTTCGTTAAAGTGGTCCTCTCGCTAACTTGTTGAAGCCTGTTGCCGTCGTCTCCACCGTCACCGGCTCTGTCGTCGCTAAAGCTACCAAGGAACTTCCTCAATACGAAGATGAACCATGGGTCATCGCAAGCGCCCTTGCTCTCATATCCGGCGCAATCGTGCTTTTTATCGGTTTAATCCGGTGTGGATGGATCGTCGAACTGATACCTTTAGTATCACTTGCTGCTTTCATGACCGGATCCGCTATCAACATTGCCGCAGGGCAGGTTCCTACGCTTATGGGCATCACTGGCTTCTCGACGAGGGATTCGACGTATTTGGTCATTATCAACACCTTAAAGAACCTAGGAAAGACGGATTTAAATGCAGCTATGGGTTTAACAGCGCTCACACTGCTCTACGGAATCCGGATTTCATGCGCGTGGGCAGCAAAGAAGTTCCCGAATCATCACAAGTTGTTCTTCTTCCTCTCGACGCTAAGAGCAGTCTTCGTCATATTATTATACACCATGATTAGTTGGTTGGTTAATATGAACCGTCGCGACAACCCTGCCTTCGCCATTCTTAAGGACGTTCCTCGGGGTTTTCAGCATGCTGCCGTTCCAACTATCAATTCAGACATAATCAACTCGTTTATTGGCGAACTACCTGCAACAGTCATTGTTCTACTCATCGAACATATCGCCATCTCGAAATCATTCGGCCGCGTCAACAACTACACTATAAACCCGTCGCAAGAGATGGTTGCCATCGGTGTTACCAACGTCCTTGCACCCTTCCTCGGAGGATTCCCATCGACGGGTTCTTTTAGCCGCACAGCTATCAAATCGAAGGCGGGTGTCCGGACTCCTTTTGCGGGTGTTATCACGGCCGCTGTGGTACTCCTAGCTATTTATGCACTTACGGCTGTTTTCTTTTACATCCCATCCGCGGCTCTTGCTGCTGTTATCATCCACGCCGTCGGAGATCTTATAACGCCACCTAACACGCTTTACAAGTTTTGGAGAATATCGCCTCTCGAAGTCCTCATCTTCTTCGTCGGTGTATTCGTTACCATATTTTCAACGATCGAGAACGGAATCTACGCCACCATATGTATCTCGTTTGCGATTTTTATATTCCGTGTCCTTAAATCCCGCGGTAGGTTTCTCGGTAGGATTCAAGTACACTCCGTACTAGGCGACCACCTCATCGGCAATGACAGTAACGTGATGGGCGAGTATGGGACTTTTGATGCTTTGGACTCTAGTCTTTCGCCGCCGACACGCAATGTTTTTCTCCCAATTGACCACGAGGACGGCTCAAACCCAGAAGTCGAGGTTTCTAGCCCCTATCCTGGTATTTTTATTTACCGATTTTCCGAAGGGTTCAATTACCCAAGCGCAAGTCACACTCTAGACTACCTTACAAGCCACATCTTCGCCAATACGCGTCGTACTAGAACAGACACGTTTGCGCGTGTTGGCGACCGTCCGTGGAACGATCCGGGTCCGAAGAAGGGTCGAGAAGAGAACACGGCGTTACCGACGTTGAAGGCTATAATCTTCGACTTTAGTTCGGTCAATAACGTCGACGTAACGTCGGTACAGCAATTAATCGACGTGCGCAATCAATTAGACCGTTACACAGCACCAGACGTAGTAGACGTTCACTTCGCCTGCATCAACAACCGATGGACGAAGAGGGGACTCGTCTCCGCCGGCTTCGGCTATCCGACCCCGCGCCCGGACGGCCTACACTCGCGGTGGAAGTCCATCTTCAGCGTCGCCGAGATCGGCGGCTCGGATTCTGCTGCAGCCGCCGCAGAGCAGGAAGCCAATGAGAAGGAGACTCAGATACGACCGACTCTCAGCAAGTCGGAGTCGGTAGACCCATCGACGCAGGACACTCCCGGACCCAGCACTGCTTCTAGTATAACGCAGTCTGCGCTTCTGAAGAATAAGGCGCCTGATTTTACTAAGAATAACGAGACTAGAAAGGTCGCGGTACACGGGCTTAATCGCCCGCTATTCCACGTCGACCTGACGAGCGCGCTGCAAAGCGCCATTGCGAATGTGCGGGCGAGAGATGAGGTTGAGGCCGCTGGAGGCCCGGACATTGGCGTCACAGTTTGAGGTTTATATTACCGAGTATGGCTGCGTGTAAAGACGCGTATAATGAGTATTGGTTTCGGTAAATGTTGTGATCATGAATGAGAAATTAGGGAGGTGTGTCATTGAGTCATTTGAAGCGACTAGCTTATAGAGAGGGTAAGGGAATGAAAAGGAAAGGGTGAAGTTTAGCATGATTGCCTACTTCGCCGGATTGGCCTATAACTTGGGGCTTTTGGTGGTATTAGTATTGTGGCCATGCCACGTCGAGTTGCGTTATACATATTACTTGCATAGGTACTGACCTATATATATGAAGCAGGTAGCGTTGGAGATACCCCGAGAAATACCAGATCATAGTATGGATACCCGTACCGCATTTTTATCTACGTGAAACTGCTTACTTTTCGTGAATTATGTTTCTTTAGGTACACGCTTGCTTCGAGTGACGAGTCGTTTGATATTTCCCTCATTGTGCAACGCTCCGGCGACCTCGCGCGGGGACCTCGAGCGGATAATGAAGACTCGCAGTTTACCTTAGTTAGTCTACTTCTTGAACGCTCGTATCCCTTTGTCTACCTAACCTACCTAGGTAGGAATATCCATCATCCTAGGCCGAGAATATACATATTATATTATCCCAATTCAAACACGGCCCTACTTATTTACTTACTTACAGATGTATACGAGCTCTAGTCTTCGGTCTGCGCTAACCAAACTCCCTAAATCGCCAACGAAAGAAAACGGTCGGTAATAGGGCGAGGCGAGGCGAAATGATGAGGCGGCACGAAATGAAATATGGCTAATTAAGACCTGGCGGAAATAAGAGATGGAGGGAGCAATGCATGCAAGTCGGGTACAGCGTGAAATTCGGAGGACGCCGGCCGGCTGGGCTGGGCTGGGTCGGGTCGGGTCGGATGCCGGGCCGGGTTTGGGGTGGGGTGGGGTGGTGTAGGGTGTAAGTAAGACGGGATGGGCGAAGCGCCAACGGCCTTGACAAGTAAGGACTAACGGTATGATTTCGGTAGCTTGATTAAGTTATAACGTGATTGTATATCGTACCTATCTTATATTAGATAATCTACTCCACTGTTTCCTAAGGTAAGATAGATAGGTTAGACAAGTGGTCGCTGTAGTAAGAGGTACATAAGTAATTCAGGGGAAAGCAACGCGCAATGGAGACAAGACGAGACAGTGAAGAAAAGGAGACGACATCACAAGAGAAACAAAGAGGGAGTCAATCATAATAGTCAGTCTTCACTAACAATCTCGTGCCCAAATCTCAGTAGGTTAGTCACATATCACAATATCATATCAAATCCCCAAATTCATCGCCAAAAGCCCAATTTATACCACTTCACAGTTTGTATGTAGTAGCAATCTATACATTTCTAACTACCTACCTAGAGGCATCTAACCACCTAACCAAGCTACCCGTCTAACTGAATATGAATCGCGAGAAACCCCCATCTATCCAGTAGTAGTAGTCTTTAAAATCATAGCATACCTGTAGCCATAGCCCCCCCAAAACCAAAACCAAAACCAAAAGAACATATCGATCCCAGCGCAGCTCGGGATACCGTAAAAGAAAGATTAGAAAATTAGAAACCCGCCCCCTTTTCCTGAAAGGGGGAGGGGATGGAGATTGGTCCGCGCCGGATATCCTATAGTTCACATGTGTGCGTAGAGTAGAGTAGAGTAGGTCGTTCCGGTGACGGGACAGCCTGTTCCCGGGCTGGATACCTACTATTTCCCCTAGTTCCGCACCGAAAGATAGAAGGGGAGAGAGAGAGCTCGTGAAGTGATATAGCCAGCTAGCTAGTTCACCTCACCTCACCTCACCCTCTTCGCACTCCCACCCAACCCCTGCCCCATCCCCATCCTCTTCGACCCTCCACTCCTACTCCCACTCCCACCACCACCCCCCTCCGTCCCCTCCATCCCCTCCATCCCCCCCGTCCCCCTACCCCTCAAATACCCAACAAGCGACCCCAACCGCGCCACATACCCCCCCGGCGCCCCCCGTTCCACAATCCTCCCCCGCAAACCCGCCAACTCGTCGACCCAAGGCCCCAGCACCTCCGGCGGTATCGAAGCCAGGATATCCACGACGAAGTTCCGGTCCTCGCCCCCGACCAGCCGGAAGAACAGGTCGCGCTCCGCCCGAGGCGTGTGAGGCGGCCCCACGTCCCGGTCCCAGCCCACGACTCGGGTTAGGACGTGCACCGCCGCGCGCGCCGCGGCGCGCAGCTCCCACCGCGAGAGCGGGCGCTCCGTGTTGTGGATTGCGCTGCGGATCTGTCGCGTCACGCGGGCTAGGTGTGCGGCGCACCACTTGACGTCCTTGGGACGCGCGGCGTTCTGCAGCGCGGGGGTGGTAGGGGTAGTAGTAGTAGTATCCGCGTACTGCTGGAGGCCAGCGAGCGCGGCGTCGGCGCGGAGCTGCAGAGAGCGGAACTGGTTCGAGTGCAGCTCGTCGGCGCGCATGGAAGAGAGGAAGTACTGGAAGAAGTCGTCGTTGCGGAGCAGCATGCGGAAGATAGTCTGCTCGAGATCGCCTCTCTTGACGACTCGCCGGCCTTTGCGCGGGTTGTTGAAGAGATCCGGTCGGTACTCGTCGGTGGGCACCTCGTTGAGCGAGGCGAGTATCTCCCGCGTCTCCCGGACCCGTCTGGGGTTGGGATCGGGGGACTGGCCGACGACGTCGCAGTGCAGGCTGTCGGCTAGCATATCCAGGTGGAAATCCGATATTTCGTCGTAAGGGTTTCCAAGCTCGGTCGGATACCCGTACTTTGTTAATGAAAAGGGGCTCCTCTGGACGCCCAGGACCTGGTTAGTAATCTGGTCGAGCAGCCAGAGGATGTGTCGACAGGGGGATTCGCCGCGCTCGCCATTCTGGCAGGTACAGCTTGGAATGCCGTAACCACTCTGTTCCGAGCCAGTCCGAACAGTATACTCGACAGGCTCCGTTATCAGGAAGAGGCAGCGCTCGTCCCCAGCCTGGCAGCCACGTAATGTGAACTGCGGGGGCACCTCTATAGCTTTATTGACGTTATCCCGCGTCTCTTCGTCGAGAAGGTCTAGCGAGTACCTGAGATTCGACGGAGAAACCATGAAGCCATCATCGTCGATATCGAAATCCCGTTCGGTATCCGACTCAGAGCTCGAGTCTTCCACCTCGACTCTTAGTTTCCGGCTCTGAAGGCGAGTTACGGGCGGCATGCTTCCGAGTGAAAGCGTCCTGAAACGCTCCGTTGGGGGGGACATAGGTAAGTGACAGGAAGGAAGCTTGTTGAGATGAAACAAAGACGATACCGAAGGATTCATTGCACGTATATTGAAAATGACGAAGACGGTTGGTTATATAACATTAGGTACATAGCCAGCCATAGGAAACAGGCAGACAGATTAGGCCAAGTCTCAAAAAGTCCGACATGATGACAAAAGCGACCCAATATCGAGACCGCTTGGTCTACGTTGGTTCAAAGGCACAGTCATACTTTACCTATTCGGTGTGAGTTGAGAGCAAACTGGCAAACCGTGAGTAAGGGGAGAGAGAGGAGGCGTGGGGGAAGAACTAGAATATTCAGCCACGGGTCGAAACGGGCAAATGAACAACTCAAAAGGGACGTTGCAGGTGAAACGATATAGTATGATGTGCAGTTAATATCTAGAACGAGTAATCGCTGGACCCGAGGGAACGGATAGGACTGGCGATGCCGAATCTTACCTCGTGACATCAGCTATTGCTGACGACAGAGAAAAGAAACCTATACCACATACATAGAAGTGTTACTATACTATGTACGATATCACCCTGTACGTAGACAAATGGCCTTCATCAGCCACAGAGACCGACCGGGGTCATGATTGGCAAAGAAGCCGAACGGAGTCCTCGGAGCGGCATTTTACCTTCATTTTCTGCCTTGGAGGAGAAAAAGGGTAGTACGGGATCCGTAGTTGTGGGCTAGCATATAAAGCACGGCCGGGGCCTTTGATGCGACCACCGTTCATTATGAGAGGTTCGTCGTGTAATTTGGGTCGCGATTTGGGCCGCGAAGCCTCGGTGCTAGGCCGCCTCTTGGCGCGGCCACCTCATAAAAAAGCCATAAAAAGCCATAAAAGTCTCCAGCGAAGGTCGGCCCATTAGGCGGCCAGTGAGGCTTCTTGCAACACACTCCCTTTTTCACACGGGCCTTTAGTTTCAATTTATTCTTCGAGAGAGAAAAAAAATTTGAGGACTCCGGCACCAAGTTGTAAGTTGTCGTGTTTTTGACCGGCCAAGGTCGTCTCGAATCATTGAAATTCCACCGCCCTTGCGCATTGGGTCGAAATCGAGCCATCCGATTTAGGATTTCCCCGAGCTACCCCAGATGCCTGTATTGCCTATTCCGGTATGGGATTTCGAGCCGGGATAACATCCGGCGCACCTGTGGGCATTCGGAACACTACTCGGTTTCTAATGACATAGCTCGGACCGACAAACTTCATACACGGCTTGCTTCGCTGTATAGCCTCACAGCGAATACCGGCTTCATTGCAGTAATGCATGAACATGGAGTACTGCTGCAGACGAGTAGCCACGCACCAAGGTGATGATGCAAACACCTGATCGTGATCTCGGCGGAATGGACATACGATGCTCTGCCTCCCCCAAAGTCATCCATCTTAGATCCCATTGGACACTTCTAAAAGGGCCTTATAGTCGTTAGGTAGTGAGGTTGTGGGACAATACTACCGCAATGATGGACCGCTGCGCCGCTTCTATTTGCTCCCCTTTTCTCTCAACAGTTTGCCACTTTAGCCAGTTGTCAATAGGGCTAGTCGTGGCTGCATGGTTGAGAAGCTGCTAGTAGAGTTAGGGTTAGGACTTTGGACTGTGGAAATTACTTCCTATGTCTTTCTATGAGGGTAGTGGATGGCCAGGGGTGACCAACCCTTCCTCTATCGAAGTGCTGGCATCCTAGTTCCAGAGTCATTCTAGACTTCTTTCCAGACACAAGACTTTGGTTTCACTACCCATGACATCCCTTACCCCACGCTGAACCCCCTGAACCCCTTCCGTGGCGAAGTATCGAGCCAACGTTCCTCTAGTCTCGGTATAGCACTCTAGGAGGTTCAATATATACCGGTTATGCTTGGTGGAAGCCAATTGGTTACCGGGCCATTGGCGCAAATTTGGCCATGACTGTTCGAAAAGGTCACAAGCAATGATAGGCGTCTATGATACAAGGGTTGGCATAGGATTTACCTGTTTTCTCTTTGGGGAGTCTGCCTAGCGGGTAAGTCGGGAAGGGATGAGGATCATACACTGGCCGAATGGCTCACGATTCTTCGACATAGCCTCATAACTATAAACGAGTATAGTATAGGCTAGGTCATTTAACAGTAGCGTCGTTGGTGATGAGTTGGAGTAGAGGTTAGGATTCTCCTCAAGACAAGCGGTAAGGTAAGTAATCTGTAAAAACTTGGTGCAACATGGAGAACGATTGCTCGACCTAGCAGCGTTTGCTTTGAAACCTCGAAGCCTAAAAGGGGTTTCTTGGGTGACTCAACAGATTCGAGGTCCTAATCATGACCATGTGACCAAATAGACGAAGATGGAGATATTTTAGCTATGCTAGCTGAGATTTGTCTATTAAGTTCTATACTCATTTTTGGCAGTGGCCGCTAAACTATGGCATGGTCCCTGATACTTTCGTTGGGGTTTTCCCCTCTAGATAAGTCAGTAGAGGCTCTTTCACGGCGACATGCTCAAGGTACGCTAAAAGTTATTTAGAAGCATATCATGTATTGATGCTGACTGTTACCAAAAGGAATGTGAGTGAGATGCTCGTCTCAAAATGATGACCAGGTTCTTTAGTTCCCCCTCGTATGGCTGCATAGCCTCAAGCGACTTCGTTCTGGAATGCCAGTAGGTCTTCTAAGACTTGGGCTAAGGTTGGGCGCTCAAAGTAGTTGTCGTTCCATTCTCCTTTGCGACGTTGGGAACTTCGAACTTCCAGATACTTTTCCGCTACTTCGATTTCGGTCGACCAAAAACGCTTCGCAGTCTGCTTAACCTCGTCGGCAGTCTGTTCACTGGGAGGTTTAGTTGTTAGAAGAAGCTGACTGTTCCGCCTTATAATGATGTTGCCAAGCGCCTCTCGCCTACCCCTTGTACATTTGTCTATCAGAATTCTCATTGCGGGAGGGGTCCTCCTGTATTCGGGAAACTCAAGTTCGGGCTCCCATCTATACGACTGCCACACGGCTGCCTTCTGAGGACCACTGACCCCTTCAAAGATGCACCACAACACTCTCCCAAGCATGTATACTTCAGCGGCTTCTTGCTCTGTCTCGCTGAGGGCAATCCATGATATGTTGAATCCATATTCTGGGTTAGTATATTTCTCGCCTTCCAACTCTTCGAATTCTGGAACTAATTCCTGCATTATCTTTCGATACTTCTCGCTCACGGATTCGGGTACACACTCGTCAGTTGCGATTAGACGGATGTATTCGATAGCGTTAACCTCCGGGGCCGCAAACTCGCACCAGACTCCTCTCTGTTCAAAATCGACCATAATGACGTCGGACTTTTCTGATAGTACAATATTGTCCAGGCGTAAATCGGGGTAGTATGTCCTAGAGCGAGTTTTTAAATGTTCAAGAGCCCTGGTTAACTGTATCGACCACTTCAACTGATCGACACGTTGCAATTGGCCATGGGCTTGCAAACTGGGCAGGACATCTCGAAGAGTACCTTTAGCGTGATAAAACGTAGTAAAACCAGCAACAGCCTTCTTGAACCCGAAATTGCACCTCTTCGTGACAACATGCATTGGCCGTCTGATGACGTTCTCATGGGGTTCGATCGTGCAGAGAGTCTTCAGTTCATGGTAAAGGTATTTGGCCCCGCTGGTCAATGCCTTGAAAATAAATAGCTGCTCGTGAATTCGGACGAGACAAACGCTATCATGTAGAACCCTGACTACGTGAAGATCAAAGAAGTCAATCACTGGAGGGAAGGGGAATCCTGAGCCCCAGAGGTCAGCCAACCTTGAAAGCGGAAGCAGCTTATGCTCCAGGTTATGGTTAAGGCCGACTTTAACTCGAACTTGGTGCGTGTCGAGTGACATATTCTCTAGGATTAGACGTGATCCGAAAGGCACGCCTTTATAGAATTTTTCGAAAGATGACAAGTCGTGGAAATCGGTCGTAGTCCAACGCTGGAGGATTCGGACAATGTGTCTTGCTATAGCGAGCCTGGGTAGTCGAGCGGAATCCTTGGTGTGGAAGGCCTTATCGAGTTCGAGCTGGTCACGGATAAGATGTGGTTGTGAATTAGAAACGAAAACATCCATGCGGATAGGAGGAACCTGTTCGATGAACAGCGGGAGCACATAGTATTGGCTGCCCAAGCCGGCACAGCCGTCGACACGCCATAGGGGATTTGGGGGCAGATCGAGGCTTTCTATACGGTTTTTGGGATTGAGGAGAGAGTCCGCCCAAGGGAGTTCAGTATAGGAGTTAACGGCATTGGGAGGTTCTGACTGTTCCTGAACCTCTAGGGGAGGACGGTAATAAGCCGCAGTAGGGTGAATGACTTCTCCTATGGCTGTCGGAGATAGTTCCATCTTGAAGCTGATATTTCTTTCCGAAAATTAGCAGATAACCGTAGTAATGTCGATACCGAGCTGATGATGGGATCAGGAGGTAGTGATTTTGTAAAGTAACATTACGGGAAGGCTGAAAGTGAAAGTGGATCTGGGGACTTCTTGGAGGCCGTGTCAGAAAAAGTTTGAATTGAATCTAGCTGACATTCAAGGAAGGACGGAAGGACCACTTGATGCCCCGGGGGGTTAACCGCCACAGCAGGAGCCATCTCTTAAGATCTCCGTTTGGGGTTTCCTCAAATAAAGGAACTTGCGTCTGAGGGTATGAAGGTACTTCAACGTTCAACGTGGTTGCTCTCCAGGTAGGTACCTATCCAACTGAAATAACCTACGTGCTACCTTAAGGTCGGATGTCGTAAGTATGCATATTAGGCGCCCAATGTGGTCGTGTTAGATTTGGCGTACCTAGAAGCAAGAGATGTATATGTATAAGGAACAAAGTCGATCTTTTTTTTGGAATACTCGTCGGTGCCCTGTATCAAGAAGCGGCTAACGGCAGCTCTAAATTGTCTTTTCTTTTTTTCGTATTGTTGGAGAATCTCCTCTCTTCACCCGTCTGATGTTTCCTTGGCTGCCTTGCGAGATTACCTTAATCTGTATATTCTCCCAGTGATATCCAATGAAGACTGCGTATTGACTGCGTATGAATGATTGAAGTGGTTGAGAAAGACGCGAGTTTCCCATCTCCGGTAGTCACGAGAGAGCGTTCACGACCCTTCCCCTTTCAAACCCACAACGGGCGCGTTTGGGGCTTGTCTTTGGTTCGTTCCAAATCTTGACTATCTACCTACCTGGTTATTTAGTTGCGCCAAGTCCGGCGGATCCAGAAAACACAGCTTGGGCAAAGGCCAAATGAATGGCGAGCATGAATAACGACTTCAACTCTCAGCCATTGAAAAAAAAGGAGTGCGCTGACCGAGTATCTGACCGGTTGCAAGCCCATGGATTCTCCATTCTCCTTATCCCTAGCGGTACCTAGTCGGCCCTAAACCTGAAAAAAAGAAAAGCAAATAGGGGAACAACGGGTCACATATCTTTCGGTATCATGATTGGTTGAGAGACGTTGGCTCCGCACGACTTATAGGAATTTCCTACCTAATACATGTAAGTTTGCAACCCAAGGTTTCTACCTACCTACAGCATTATGCTAGGCATCTTAGCTAACACAGCGTCAGTATACGCAAGGCTGTTTTAAGTGGTTAACCCAGTGTATGCCCAAATAGGGATTCCGCATCTCCCTAATTTTCATAGCGGCGTCCATCCCCTCCTTAGCATTGATATTAGGTAACCGGCTTTGTGAGTTTTCTTCGACCCATTGACCGTCAACTTCAATTCCTTAATATTACTAGCCAATGGTCGGTCTTGGCCATGTATGGAGAAGTTGATCATGGATTGACAAAGACTTTATTTTCCATGGTTGAGATGAGCCTATTCGAACTGCCAACAGTTAAGAGACCGGTCTGCATCTTCGCTAGGGCCTCGCGAAAGTATGAGGCGGACATAGCAATGTTTCGACGCCCTGTCTTATCGGGTTTTGATATATATAGAATGCGACATTGGGGAGTGCTGCGACCTTTTATATATCGTCAAGTGAACGTAATAACCACATGCCGAGTAGGTAGTGTTGTGTATCTGCGTAATCGTGATTAGTTAAAGATGTGGATTTTTCATAGGGCTGAGATATACCTACGATGTAAAGTCTTGGCATTTCCAATATCTACACTGGATCCTCATCGCCAAGAAGCCCCAGGGACCACTTTCTAGTTCGTGGGACAACTTAAAAACAAAACGATGGGAATGCCAGGTACTCGGACCACATTTCCTTTGTTATTGTGCTGCCACAGATTGCTTAACCTTGGTAAAGTCGACGTAATATGGAACAAAAGTCGTATCTATTGTTAACTAGCACGAAGCTTCTTTATGGAATGATTATAGTGTCACTCGGAAGGTTGTATTCAAACTGTCGAAAGTCAAGTATGGAAAGAGTTTAGGTTAGGTATAATGTAGTGACAAGACGAAAGCTGCGCGTCATGGTGGCTCATGTAAGTACAACTTCATTCGAAGTGAAACATTAGAATAGAAGCTTCAACTGAGCAACAGGTACGTTTTGAGTTGAGGAAACGCGTTGGTAATATACATATTGGTCTATCTATTATATGTCGCTGACAAAGTTACCTAATATTGGACACCATCATGACTTTTGATGATTTTTACTGACTTATCATTTGCATTTTTTTATTGTTTAAAGCTCGATTGGAGCTGACGGGCCGGTTAGGTAGATATACAAAAAGTCCGGGCCGATAATCAGATAAATAAATTTTAGAGTGAGCCGTGAAATTCCACGTGGCGAACCAATTAAAAAAATAGTTATATATATATAAAAATAACATGAACCCTAAAGGTGGGAGACTTTCAAGGGTGGTGGGAACTCCAAATTCGGCTGATCGCCCCTAACCGATGATGTCACTCGGGTAAATTGGAAAATGGGGTTAGTAGGTAGGTATAAAGTTACGCTTCGTGTAACAAGATGACGATAACATGGAAAATACTACAGCTTTAAACATCAATGGATGGAGAATCGTTGGGGTACTCGGCTGATACTGATACTGATACTGATACTGATACTGATGCTTGGGAAAATTGATGTGGCACCGTTGAGCGAGGTAGCGCCGGGTTCATCATCTCCGGTAGAACTGGCAAAGCCGACTTTTGCGGACATTTCTTCCGCTTCGGTAAGCTTCCATTTGTCTTTCCCTTTTCCCAAGACGGATGCAGAAATCCCGCGACGAGGAAGTACATCTATAAACCACTAACAAGGCTATCCGACACATGTAAATGGCCGAGGTGGTAATAGAACCGCGCATAGCTCAACTTCGAGTTGCAATGCATCTTGAAATCGTACATGGAGAAAAGACAACTGCAACTAGGTAATCACTTGTTAGATCACTTGTTGGTTGACAACGCCGATCTTGCAAGATGCATTATTCTGCCTTTCCCTCTATGGTCCGTATAAGCGGGACCATAGAAACGTGAAGTCGGGAATCGCGTGACCCTCTTCGCGTCGGGCGCATGAGACCCTGTGACTATGACTGTACTGCCGGTCCGAAAATATGCTGCCGTGCTATATCTTGGCTAGCCCCGGCGGGATTTTCGTAAGCGTCATGCTTTCTAACTCATCGGGCGTCTCGGTCAGGTCGCTTTCGATACCGCGTCGCTTGGGCATCAGTATAATCCTCACCGGTCAATGAGTCCATGCTACTTCATGAAGGATGAAACCTAAAAGAGGTGCATACTTGGGTCTAAAGAGAGTTGGGGGGGTGATGAGGCAAACATGGAGAAGTATGAATGGACGAAGGTCGCTGCGATGATCACGGTAGCATAAGCAGCATAATCAGCACTTACGACTAGACACTGTATCCAACATACTGTAATAATTTCATATACAAGCAAGCCGTACGTGTCTTATCTTTAGTAGTAGAGAAGTTGGGCAGATGTCTGATTCGTAGGAACCGAATGGAATATATGATATAATAGCACGTCGAGAATCATGAAAAGGCATAAACATAAACATGATATGATATAGCTAATATATGAAGCAGAAAAGTTAAGAAATGCTAGCGATTAAATTCGTGTACTTATATGAGCCAATATTTATAGGAAGCATTATAACTTACATATACATTTTATATACGTAATTATGAGGCGTAGATGATGTTAGCTGTCAAAGTTGACACATGCCAGACATGCGTAGGTAGGTAGCCTTATCGACTGTTAATCATCCCAGTCCAGTCTCGAACTGTGTAGTTTATAATCGGACCAGTAGCCGAATTAGCGAAGTGCTCACCGCTTAAAAAAGTTGGTCGGGAGGATTGGCTGCTACCCTCTGCCCTCTATAGCATATAAGTAGGGTAAAGTAGGTTACAGGGCGCTATTGAAAAATAAACCCGTATGCCTAATTTGGCGGTATCACATCAAGTGCACGTGGGCTGATAGGCTTGATGCGTGGGGATGAGCTTGTAACTGTCGTAAGAATCTCACCACCCCTTTTCTCTCGTAGCGTTTCACGTGAGCTTATGACAGACCCGTAGATCCCTGCTCCCACGGGACACTACGGTAGACGGGTGTTGAGGCTGTAAGTGGATGTACGCGATTACCTGCCGATTATTAAGATCCGCCGTAGCGGGTCCAACGGGATGAAGAGAACTGTATGCTGTTGGCTAGCCAAGTCTGTGTATCCCACGAAATGCGATCTGATGTGGATGAATTCGCTGTCAGTAAGGGTCAGTTGACACGGACGGTATAGAAGTCCCCGTTCCTGATTTGCCTGCCCTCGAGGAACGAACTCCACAACCCGCCCAGCATTGGTTTCTGGGTCGCCTTAATTTACATGTTAGCAACTTTCTCCATATGGGGGGCATATGGGGTATGTACTGACTCACATACGCATCCAAACGACGCCGCCTTTATTTATTATTCTCAGCCTTCTTGGGCTTCGATTGGGTTGGAGTTGAACACGCGGATACTTTTTTAATTGTGATCAATTAATCACGATCAGCTTACGCGAGCGAATTTCCCAATTTGAACGAATTTTGGAGGAAGTAAAGAAAGAGGGGGTGATAGGCTAGAGAAGATAAGAGGAAATGAAAACGAAAAAAAGAATTAGGTAGTGTACTTTTTGCGGCTTTGCTGGCTGGTTGGCATGACATGACGACATCTATATCTCGCACGTTTGAAAAGTTGAAAAGCTGACATTGATGATTGATTTGAACATTGATTCAACGTAGCACGTTAGAGTAACACCAGATCCCACAGTCATCCGAAATTTCCTTATCGATACAACTTTCTACTATGGTACCCCCAAACCCCCCAAATCCCCGGCCAAATTAGCTCCAATCGGCCTCAACTCTATGTATTGCCCCAGTTTGTAGTTTTGCCCCAGTTGATCAGTTTACACGTTCACAGGGCTGTTCTTCAAAGCTGATGTTCCTTGCAAGCTTACATACATTATGTACATGCATTAAGTACCTAATCTAATCTACCTGTACCTAAACCATGTACCTACATGAAGGTCCAATAGATACCTACCTACCTACCTAGGTATATTATAGTACCAGTAGTACCAGGTAAAAATGAGGTAAATATGTAAGGTAAAATAACGTTAAAAGACAAATGAGGCAGAACCTCGGAGGCGGCTTGCTTTAAGCGCGGGCTACATAGTAGGTATGGCTTAAGTGTTACATTAACTGCTACATTAACAATTTACCAATTATAATACACTCCAATACTGCATCATGCTAATAACTAAACCAGACATAGTTGCGGTCCTATCCGTGTTATCCCTGCTTATCCCTACCTCATAACATCCCGAGGTCCCCCTTTCGTCCTATCAAAACCCTATCAAACCAGGTCAAAACCAATACCTCCCAGTCCCTCCCCCTTGATCAGCACGGATCCGGATTGCCTCATTTGCACCCACTCGCAAAGTCGAACGGTCGCACAAGGCCTAAGTCTGATTAATTTCCCCCCTCTTTAAACCGGTGAAGCCGCCGGTTTAACGGCCGCCCTAGATCTTTCTTCACCGAGTTGTTTTCTTGACCAGTGCCGTCTCCTCACTCTTCCAATCATCATCTCTTCCGTCCGGCTCAAATCAAGTCGGGGTCAAGTCGGGGCGGCAAGCATACTACCGTTCTTCTGTTCTCAATCTTCCCGTCGGACTTCCTCCATTCTTTCCTAGCTCATGCTCTCCACCTGCTGACTGCTCATTCACTAATTCAGCCCCCTTTCCCTATCTCAAACTACCTTGATAGGCCTCTAAGGTGTCTCAACGCAGGGCGGCGGCTCGTCCCCGTATACTAGCATACTAGCATACTAGCATTACCCAGCCAGCATTGTACAGCACCAAGGCACCAAGGCATCAAGGCACCAAAGCACTAAAGCACCAAAGCACAACACGACACAACACAGCACAGCATAAACATAACATAATACAACGCGGCACCGAAAACATGGTCGCATTAGCTCTCTGATGATCCTGGCAGTCTTATTAGCGGCAATGACGTCCGTGAGGCCTTGACGTACGCCGTCTTAACAAACCCCACTGCCAGTCTGACGCCCCGGTGAGGCGCAAAAAAAAAAAAAAGGATACGCGCAGCTCTTGACTGCTCTCGTATGTGCGCACAGCAAAAGACTGACGCCCTAGCGCACACGGCACACACCCTGTTTTGTGGTGCTAGCTAGGCTCTTGTCTAACACACCTCCATCCTCACACGCCATACGCTCGCTCATCGAACGTACAATGGTAAGATTTTCTTACTATACCCCTTACCCTGGTTCGCCTCTAGATAGCCAAGTAGCCCATACCTTGTCTGTGTCTGTATCCCTAGCGTGCAGTCTGTTGATTTGCATATAGAATAATCCTAATATCAGAAAGCGCCGGCCTTACGGCCATGGGGATCCCCCGGTGGTGTCTATACCCCAGGATCCCTCTTACTCGCTTTCTGCCTCTGCCGTTTCATCTCACCCGGAGCACTTCTCCGCTCACGATCTACAAATACTCCAGCAGGCGGCATCTATCTTAAATTGCCCCGTCCCTGAATTGCTGGACCTTTATAATAGAGCTCCTCATCCTCAGCAGTATCCGCTCTCTTCTGCCCCATATCCCGTTTCAACCAAGAGGCCACGTCTTAGCGCAGATATGATATTGGCATCCCCTCAGGAGAAGTCTTCGCCGCCTACGCCATCCGCCCAAGACGGCTCTGAGCGGCAGCATGCTCCTGAATTATCCAACAGTGGATTCTCCATAGGCATAGACCGTTCTCGTCTCACGCAGTACTTCACTAACTTCTCTGTCTGCTCACCGTGCACAACTTGCGAACCCCAAGGTTTGCTTCCTGTTCTAGTTCTTTTTATGCAAGCATGCTAAATGTGACTTAGTCTACGGTTCAATTCCAGCCAGCTCGCCCTACGCTTACGCTTCGGGGCGTCAGTATTTTGATGACAGGCCATCATCTCCCGGCTCGGTGCCTGGGACTGTGTCTCCAGACCAGCCGAATGTTTTTACTTCTAATGCTCCCTCCACAGCCCCACCGATGATGCCCAATTACCCTATTCTACAGCCAAATCGGCTTATGACTATGCAGCCTTCTACTAGCGGTGAGGGCATGGTGTATCCTGAGGCCGTGCCTGGCCAGCAGTATTTTAATCAATCAGATTTCCACCATGACGTATCAAGCTCCATGTCAAACAACACGATGGAAGCTCAATCATATAGTCCGCCATTGTTGGGGCATAATAGTACTACTGGGAACATCTCACCTCAAGAAGTAAATAGAATTAGTATTGGTAACAAATCCGGTGAATTGGACATCGTACAGCCAAATCAACGACCTTCTGCTGCGAGGAGGGGACCATTCAAAACGAACGACGAACGAGAGAAGACAGCTGAGACGAGGCGAATTGGTTCTTGTATTCGGTGCCGGATGCAACGGATTCGCGTAAGAAACCTCACTGTTGTTTTACTGTTTGATTCCTAGGTAGCGCCCTGTGTTTCATCAGCTAATTCACGACTCTAGTGTGAGATTAACCCTACAGATAAGCTCGGCACGTGCTTGACATGTCTTAAAATAAACAATACGAAGATTTGGCGGATGCCTTGCCTTCGCTATAAGATCACAGACGTGAAGCTATTCAAGCCCGGGAACGTGAAGGGGTACGAATGGACTCGGAGGTGGATAGAGGGGATCCCTGACGATATATCACAGTGGGCATCGTCGGAAACGAAAATAGTCAAGGTTACCGAAGGGTACACCGAACAGGCGGTCGAGCTCCGAGTGCGCCAATTTGTTCCGCAGGATGGAGACAAACTCGAGCGTAGTTGGGTTCACGAGGGAAATAGGAGAAGAGTCAAAATCCCCCCGTATGCTATCGTGAATCTCGAAGAAGCGAAAAGTACCTATACCAATTATATCAGGCAATGGCTGCCCGAATGCTGTAAGAAGGTCGTCGGCAAGGAGAAGTTTTTACTCGCAACGTACGGCGCTGCGATCAGAGCTTCGAGGGACCAGACTATCGACCCCAAGGAGAGTGCGCTTCTGAGGAAGGCGTTGCAGTTGTGGATGGCTGTCCGCTTGACCACCAAATCAACCATTATTGTTGGTGACGAAACGCTAGGGATGTCTAAAGATATCATGGATGAGACGAGTCCACTTCGAGGATGTGTTCCCCTCCCACCTGTGATGGGTGCACAAATTGAGCTTGTCCTTATCCATCAAATACAATCCAGTCTTCGGCGGGAAATGTTGGAAAACTTACAAACTATGACACAGGCCAACAAGCAGAAGACCTGGTTCACGACATACCTAATTACATTCATCCTGCTCCACAACGTAGCTCTCCTCTGCCAACACGACGCTGGATATGCTCGTAAGCATGGTATCAAGGTGTGTATCAAATGACCGCCAGACGACCACGAGGACATTGCGCTCACTTTTTAAGTTGCAGAGCCGGTTTGCGAGAGAAGAGATGGTGAGAGAGTATCAAACGGGTAAGCCCTGGCGTCCTCTTGAACGGGACTTGTTCTTCAACATTAGTTCTCTTGAAGCTGGGACATCCTAACGGCCTTTCTAAACAGGGGCGAACATTCTGTTGGCGTATTTTCATTACTGCAATAGAGGTAAGAAACTCGGAGTTTCACATGCATTAGTGAACCAAATGTGTTAACGGTAGACAGGCGTATATCCGTTCTCTTTGGAGTGCAAGGAGCAAGACATGTCGACATTGGTCGACAAAGATGAGACCAAGATAAAGCTCATCCAGTACACAAGGGCGCAAGCCGAAAAATACAGTAAGCCACACGTCTCTCAATCTTGTTTTGGGATTCTCTATACATACATAACAGTGCCCAAAACGGGTAGATCGCTAACTAGTCGATCTTGCAGAAAAACACTGGGCGAAGTTGCGGCAGAGTGGCGATTACGAGAATGATTTTTACTATATAAGTCAATTGTACGAGGAAAACTGGATGCCGCAGTCCACAATTTGAGAGACGATATGAGCTGATGATCCGCGTGGCGGGAGCTCGGCGTGAAGAAAAAAAAAACTTGAAAGCTTTGGGCAAGATCCAGTTGACAACATCTAAACCAAGAATCAAGCATTGGCGAAGATTAATGTTGTATTTACGCGTAGAACTTGCAGGCCCGGTACAGGTACCTACCTACTCTGCGTTATGCATGAGGTACGAGACCGGATGCAGTGTTGAAATAGGTACATCCTAGGCAGTTACATGCAGGCTCCCCCTACCTACCTACAATAACGGAGAAACAAAGACAGAGTAAGTGTTGCCCAGACTAACATTGAAATATTGAAGCTACCAACAGGAATTCCTAAACGCTGGACTTGCCTATGAAGACTCCTGCCATTCCTGCCATATGAACGCAGTTTTGAGAGTTCTAAAAGCATATCGCTAGTGTGTTTAGGATATAGTTCTCAACTGACATCAAAGTAGACATACGTATGATCATTCTGCAACACGATCCTGCCGTACTATCCTTCAACGCCATACTGCAACTGCAACGGCCCGGGTCCTTCTTGCTTGAGAAAAACGACTTGTCTCATGGAAGTTACCCTATGTTATGTACCTTATGTAGGTTATGATGTGCCTAGGCACGACAGCTGTTAGGTAGTCGGTGCATACGAGTACATGTATAGAAAGACATCGAAAAGCATTATCGGAACATGCCGCCTACATATGTACTCTTCAACCACTCGGGTTGTTCGAGGACGTATACGAATACCTATCTAGCTGAGTGTTGCAATGCTACTTCAGGTTGCTTTTCTAAAACGCCAATGACCAAATTGTGATGGCGTATAAGATTTAGGTACATTAGGTCCTGTGGACATTCCCGCCCATAGGTGTCCTTCTTAGACGATACATGTACGTATCAATTACATCAATACACCTTCCTCGTGGACCCTAGCCATACAAAGCAACATCAAGGAAATAGCAATAGAACAGAAAACCTTCGACCTGCAGGATACATATCACAACATTAAACCTTGGCATCGGTGAAGCAAGCGGATCCTAGCCTTTCCGAGAATGACCCCTGGTACTTTCCCCCCCTTGCACAGCCAATGGATATATATATTAATACCTTGCGGCTCCTTCTCGTGGCAACATGCATCGCTACCTACCTAGATTATTAAGACATGCATCTTCCCACCTACCCGGTTAGCAGGTCAAGGTCCGTGTTTCCTGCAGCAAGCCGTACCTGGTGGCTTGCATTGCAGGTGCATATGATTCAAAAAGAAAAATGAAAAGCATGAAGAGGTAGCTTCGATGCTATGCTACGTTAGGTACTTATGCGGCGGCAGGAGTGGATGTTTTGCATATGTATGTACCTACCTCTGGGGCTTGCCTTACCTATGAGGTACCTGGGTATGTATGAAGGCCCTGGCGAATAGGTAGCCTATAGCCGCGGACCTCATATTCGTTTACGCCACGTCGTTACTGGTGTTGTATCCTAGGGGGTTTCCCTATACACACCCCGACTTCGAACTTGAAGCTTCAATACTAGTGTTTTTTCATCTCACATCTCGATCAGCTTCGTTAAGATATTCGTATATGCTGATTATACAGTATACCTAATGTAATGTAATTTCAGATCGGATAATGACGTCCCCCCTGCTGTACAAGGCGCACTTCCCGTGTCTTGTAGGTATCTGCAGAGTTGTGCTTTCCAGTTAGCAAAAGTATGTGGAAGTCGGTAAGGAGAGTTTTGATGGTATAAGGTTTAGGCATGTTCCATTCTACGAAAGTGCCTCTTCTTTCCTTCCCTACATAGCATTCTTAGATGCCTATTATCTAGCCTGGTTGTCAGATCATAAATTTTCAACTTTTCTTCAACCATTCTCATTCTTCATTCTTCATTCTTCACACCACATCACATCTCATCCGAGCAACTGCAGATCTATCAGCCCAGCCACTAGAATCTTCTGTTCGTTTCATTATACTAAAACGCCTTTCAGGAACTCAACCACTATAGGTTCGTTGATGGTATGACCTGCTATTGGATGCAACTAACACGTTACAAGACAATAGACATGGATTCCAACAACGGTCCAGTCCTGTTTTCCTCAGGAAACGCATTGGTCAATGCGGAGTATCCCTTGCATGCTAACCCTGCCTCGGAGGGATTGTCTGGTCTCCCCGTGGGCTTTCCCGCTCACTTGGGTCAGGCGTTTTCCTGGACAGGAAATCAAGTCAATGATGATGAGCTCCACTTCGTCTATCATTTGACCGAGGAGAACCTGGCAGAGGTCCGCTCCGCGAAGGATCACTTCAAATGTATGTCTTCCCCAAAGTTTCCTTCGGAGCTTCTCCTTGACTAACCTTCGATGTCCAGCGTTGGAACTGGATGGTGATCTAGTCAACCGGGACAATTTTCCCCTTCCCACACTCGGTCCCAAACTAGATGAGCTTAGTCATGATATTCACAATGGCAGCGGCCTCTGCGTTATTCGTGGAATCAACCCGGAGGACTACTCCGTTGAAGACTTGACCATTGTATGGCTAGGTATTCAAGCATACATCGCTGACCAGCGAGGATGCCAAGACCACCGAGGCAACATGCTTGGTTAGTATACGGGTACATGACCTAGATATCATATCGAGCTGACATATTTCTTAGTCCACATCGTGGCAGACAACTCTTCTCAGCTGAAGTTAGGCCACCACCGCCATTCGACTTCTGCTATTGTAAGTTGGATTGGACAATTGCATCTTTCTTCACATGCTTACAATGTATACAGTCCTTCCACAACGAGGAGGCGGGCGACGTGGTTGCTTGGTTGACTCGTAGCACTGCAGCAGCCGGAGGCAAGTGCATCGTTGCGTCGGCTTATACCATCTACAATATCCTGGCGGCCCATCGTCCCGACATCATTCGCACCCTTGCGAAGTCGGATTGGCCATTTGCTTTGTAAGCTCATTCTATATTCAACATTGCTTGTAGACGACACTGACATTTCCGATTCAAGTCCGCGCTTCCAATGTCGACCCATATTATTCCACCACAACTCGAGGCTGGTGATGAATTTTGGTCGTACGCCCCTATTGGGAAATGCCATCCACCCACGCCCAGAGAACCTCCCAAAGCTCAATGATCGCCAGCGCGAGGCTCTTGACGTGGTGGAAGCGATTGCCCAAGCGGTCCAACTTGAGATCAAGACCCAAGCTGGCGACATGCATTTCATCAACAACCTTGCCGTTCTCCACAGACGCGAAGGATTCGTCGATGGCGACTCTCCTCAGCGTAAGCGGCACTTGGTTCGCATGAGACTACGCAGCTCACAGCAAGGATGGGACATACCCGACGAACTGAAGCGGGAATGGCATGATGCATTCGACGCGGACACCTACCAGACGTGGCACCTGGAACCGATGCCTGGCGACGTGTTCCCCCTTCGTAAGTACACTAACTAAATCATATGGCCCACGATACCTTAGGTACCTAGTAGGGCGGGTACTTATGCACTGCATCTCACGGGGAACGGTTGGGATTGGGAAAATTACCAATAAGGTTCCGGCTCACGGAGGTTAATACGGGGATAAAAAGGGGTTTCATCAATGGTTTCTTCTCGGGATGTGTCAACTTGCTGTTTTCCTTGCTCTAGCTCTGGTTGAGCTACCTAATAATTCGTCGACGATGATGGGGTTTGAGAGGAGTGTGTCCGATCCCTACAACGAAGCACGATCCTTTGGAACATTACTGTCTACTGGGAGTATACGATATGTCCGCCAGTTCTAAGACTGTCTTGCCATGAAATTATCACTATCCCTACCTAGGTACAATAGATACAGAATTACTCAACCTTTGCAAAAGGGAAATAAAAAAACATTTTTTTTTGCCGATATTGTTGTAGACTGGGCCGTTCTCCTCCCCGATCTCCACAATGACCAAACGATTGGCCACTTTGCATCTCAGTGTTTGACTTGGCAGAACAATTTTTTTCTTTGATTCTCTTTTAATACTACGACGTGCCGTCCCAAATCAAAGTTGCACCATGGATGCAGGACCAACCGGGATTTAAAGCATAATTGCGCGGACAATACTAATGGCTGCAGCCGTAGCGCGTCTAGTTCTTTCGGGAGCTAGGAACGACAGCGAACGACATTGGTCCAGAGAGATAAAAATAACTAGGATAAGACTTGAATTCATCAAATTCTGTGGTAACAACGATACAGTAGCAGTTGTCAAGCTGGGCCTCGACTCTTCTTTTTTTTTTTCCTTTCCCCCTTTCCCTTTGGAATATTCCTAAGCCATTAATAGAGGCATAATGGTAAACCAACAAGCATATCAAGACGAGATGGTTGTCTACATGCCCCATGCGGAGCTATATACTAGTAATCTATAAAAAGCGCGTGTTAAGATTTCTTGGATTAACCCTCTTAGTAATAACCAAAGTAGGCCTAGGCACGGCTCTTAACCCCATGCCCCCGTTCCCATTAATACCCTCCCAACTCCTTGGTTTCGTCCGGACGACCGTCGAGATCGGAGATCAGAGGCGGAACCCACATGTGTGTATATATTATGTATGTAACCTATGTGCCACGTACGGCTAGGCGTGTTGGCGTATGTGTGCCTCTTGTCTCGCACTCGCCCCTGAATAGCGGATATACGTATGTACCTAAGGTATAGTAGTTCGGGTGAAATGATCTCAGCTCTAAAACTTAGGTCTTCTCGAGATGCAGCTTGTTAAGAGCATTTTGATCGATGTGCATGCAGCCGGCGACCGCCGTTAACCATATATGAGTATATTTATAAGGTGATTGTGGAGGAGTGTTACGGGCTTGTAATCCATTTGCAACCCATCGAACTCGTTATAGTGGAGTAAGACATATACTATGAAGAGTCTCCTGCTAGTGCTGCTACTGTAGTTTTTACCGTAGACTATTCTCGTACATACGTACATAGAGGATAGAGAAGCGTACTATGTAATAAGCGCATAGGTGGCTTTTCCCCGTTGCGCTTGACCCCTTGTAGTCCCTCATGCTCGCTTACTCCACTGCAAGATCGTATTTCTATTACATAGTACATTTTAGCTTGTCCGGATGGTATTATTCGTCTTAGACTTGCAGCGTGCGTCGTAATGTGGCTCCAGGGAGGAAAGTAGGTACATGATATTTAATGTCCGTAGGTACGGGATTCGACATCGCCGTAGCGGCGGTGGGCTTGATGCCCGGTTAAACTTTGCCACTCCGGCTCCCACCCGGCTCAGCAAAAAGCCCATGGCGCATGGGCGCATGGGCGCATTACACTAGGTTAGACATTATCCACATTATCCACAATAGAGCAGGATGCAGAGGATGCAGAAAGAGTGTACCTCTTAAGATTCCGGCTGACGGCTTGGATCTGCGAAAAAGTAGCATTTACAAAGTAGCATCTACAAAGTAGCATCTACTGTAGTACAAAGCAGTCACATATATGTTAGGTAGTGTTCCGCCGCATATGCAAGAGGAGGCTACTTATTGTTTGAGTACCTACCTTAGGTAGGTAGAGATTTGAATGGAGATGGTCATATTCGACTTTCTACTCGTCACATACCGTTATATATGAGATATATGAGATATATGACATAGATATATCATATTTCATTATACGATATTTCGTGCGACGTCGAAGAACCACACCGCAAGCCACCTTCTGCCGCCCTCTAAAGTTCTGTCTGGTTTCATTATCCGCGGGATGCCAAGACGCTCCAGCCACAGTACTTAATTAACAACCTGGTTCTCATCACATACCTACCTCATAGTATTGCATTACGACTAACTCACGTGGCCTAGTGGCCTACCTACCTAGTAGTGGCCGCCATCCTTCTTACATTCAATGTTCCTTCTACATTAGGTACACTTACACTTCGAGGCTTAGGAGGCTTGAAGGAACATATGTTGTTTTTCCCCATACAAATATTTCAGCCAACGAACGTGCGAATAGAAAGCCACCTCGTCAGTCTAAGACTCTCAAGATTTTTATATCGACACTTTGCGGACTGCCCGCTCTTTCTCAAAGAGGCGGTCGGGTTTTGAGATTGGGGGTTGTTTCTAAGGTCTGGACCGTAATGATGATCAGCGAAAAGAAAAGCATGCAAATAGAAGGGTAAGGTCTGGACTGTCGTCTATCACTTACCATGTACGACCCACGCACGTTATACACACGTCAGGATGTTGTCAGCTCACCCACGAAGGTCGAGCCTCCGCCGGTAGACATTGACCATAGCGTCCGGGGAGCACAATCACTGGATCGGGGCAGACGGAAATGACGGCCGGCACCTCATTTGGTACCATTAATTCGCCTCAGCACTAAAAGGGGCACTATCATATCTCATAAAACACTTAGAAATCGTTGAGGAAAAAGTTGGAGGGGTAGTGGAATTAGTAAAAAAAAAAAAAAAGGACCGCTCTAGTCGGGTTCAGTTGAACTCGAGAATGATGAGCTCGTCTTCGCGGATGCGGAGCTCCAACTATAGCTTGCTATACGGGTTGCCGCTTCTATAGCACCGTACGTAGCTGTGTATCTGATAATCTCAGATCTCTTCGACGTACGATGAGCCACCTACGCAACGCCTATGGCACCCGAATTCCCAATGCTCTGAACACCGTGTTTTCGGATAGCTACGCCTTGGCCAGCGTATCCAAATGTACAAGCATGGTACAAGATGGAGTATAAGTACATCTAGCACCGGTGTAGTAACGCCAGACGCCTCCGCGGGTACTGTAATGTGCCGCCGCTAGCAAGTACCTGGTTGCAGTAGACAAGCCAAGCACACCTCCAACATCTCTGCTAGGCATGTGCTTGCATCCGCCCTTCAGATCTGAGGCATGGGGTTAAGGCTAGCTGGGGCCGGGGCCAAGGAAGTGGGTATGGGTATGGGTACTTTTCTGCAAGGCCTTCTTGCATGGGGATTGGACGCTGCGACGGTCACCGGTACAGGGCTGCTAGCTTGCTGCAGAGGACGTGCTGCCCTTCATGCACGGGTTAATTACTGTAACCTGTCGGGATGCAGAGTTTCTAATATCTATCTACCGCCTGCTGCATAGGCGAGGACAGCGGCAACCTGACGCCCTGCTAGCTGCTAGACACACCCACGTAACCCATAGACGAGCCAAGGATTGCTGTCTCTCGTCTTCGGGGGCCACGACGCAAAGCCAACGAAAATGCACAATGAAAAGACGATAGGAAATCGACGCCTGAGCCCTGTTACAACACGACCGGTCAACGAAAAGGCGACGATCTCAGCGGATTCGAAACGTGTCGATGAACACATATGTTTCCCGTATCCGATAAGAAAAAGGGCCTGGCCCGTTCGAAAAAAGAAAAAAAAAGGGAGTGATCGAGATCAACGCGATGCTTCTATCCAACCCTTTTTACTTTCTAGACGGTCCTCGACAGGATTTAGGGTGGTGTGACACGAACTCGTGAACTGTGCGCAGTACTTGCAGTCGGGATTCCGGGTCATGGTACGGACGTATTAGAGACTGACTTAGGATTGTCGATCCTAGAGAAATCGTGGTCTCGGAGTGCGAAACGCGAGAGGCGCGGTTGGGTACAAAAAGTGACTAATGAGACCGCACCACGGGCCATTATCGTCGCGTGACTCGTTGAGAGTTGACGTAGAATGGTCCCATTTCCTGGGAACCAATTTTATTTCATTTTATTTTCGGCAATTTCTGCGAATCAAGTCAGCTAATCCTCCACATCCGCCGATGAAGTCTGATATAGGAAATGGAAAATGGTTATTAAAAAATAAAGGTTAGGTACCTACATATGTATGTAGGTACTATGTAAGAAGACAGGGGGGGACGGGGTTAAAGGAAGGGTAAGACTGCTTATTCGGCCTTACTGCCCAACCTATTCCTATGTGGATGTCGACACACACACGCATCTAGAACGGCCAAGAAGAACTTTTGATGGGCGAGAGCACTTGGCTCAGAAGTACTCCATACTCTTACACGTCTTACACGTCTTACACGAACAACTCGGACTAGGATGCGTCCTAAAAGCCTTCGGCTAATGCTATCGGATAAACATGTGGTCAGCAGGTAGCCATACGCAACGATAGGTAGACGCCTTATATGTCTCTACATACCTCATGTACGAACCCTGAAGGTATCTACATCATGTATGTATGTAGGTAGGTGTAGGTAAGTGGTGAGTTGATCTTAGCTACCTAAGGGAGGGTGGTACCCATTACCTGACATCTCTGAGGTCGAATCGGTGGGTTTTCTTTCTCATCCCGTTTTCTTCTCCTATTGTCTGTCAACCCATAGCATTCGAGCTCTTCTTGACAGAACCAGATGGAATTCCATAGCATAATAGGGAGATGCCATATCAGTCGACATGCATCGGAACGCTCCGGATATGCGCAGTCACATAATTATCAGCCGTCCTTGCAATGCCTTCTTACTTGGGGTCTTGATCCACAAGCGCTCCAATGGTTGCTCTGCAAGTTTCGATTCTGAGAAAGCGGCATAGAAATCTCCGTAGAGAGAGTAATCCAAGCAAACTGACGTCTTAGTAACTCTAACCCGATCAGACCTACGTAAATCGTTAATCGATATGACCCAGTTCAGATGGAGATGTCCATGGGAAAGTTGTCCTGTTGCCTTTGCAACGCACCAAATTACACTTGCCCTTGGGTCTTTCGAAACCAGATCATCGTAACTTGAAACTGGTTTCAAGTTGAACCAAACATGGATATCACTGAGATGTGATGTGTAAGCTATACAACCCAGCCTCGGTAACTCGGCTTATAGGCGGCTATCGTGGGCTGGTGTTGAGAGGATGAGCTTCGTCCCACCATCCGTTTCCAGCACCCAGTTTTATGATTACTTTCCCGAAAGGAAACGTAAAGTTTCGCGGAAGACTATTAATTTATAAAGAAGAGAAAGGTACTTTTGAGATCTCGGGAGCGAAATACGGCTTGAGACCCCGCGAGGTCGGTTCTTGAGAGACCAAACCCGAGCTAGGTTCTGTGAATAAGGACGAGCAAGCATTCAACATAACCAAGTGAGATACGGACGAATCTTTATACCAACTCAATGGCGTCCCTCGGCGATCGGCGGAGGTGATAACGCGGGATTTGGCCATCGTCAGTTTGTGCGACAGTCCGATCTAGAATGTTGTCGTTCACTCCAATATCCAGGCCGTGTTACAGCATTGCGGCAACGGGTCGAACATAAGCACTAGCAGCCCGTTACATACTCGAATCTCGGTTATCCCGCGTGATCGGCGAAGTTCGCATCGTGTGGTTTGGGTTTGCGAACTGGTGGGTTGGTGGGTTGGCCTAACCCCCCTGGCAACCAACGAACCTACCTATGCGAATCCGGATCTGGACCTTGTGATCCGCCACTACTACGACGATGGGAGGCTGTGGGGAGATCGCGCCGCCCTTGCATGATCTGATCTGGTCTGCTCGGGCGAGGACGATGCAAGCCTTTCGCTACGTACTGGGAGGGAAAACTTTATAGAAGGCTTGGTAAAGGTACGTGCCTAACAAGCAAGGGCCGGCTGTATGAGTATGATGGCACATAATGTTCCCTTGGAAATGGAGTGTTGTTTTAACCGACATTATGTAGATGATGGTCAACACACACACACACACAAGACAGCCCAGGAGAAGAGTTTCCGGAAATGGCATCTGACTCTTTCTATAGGTAACTAGTCGCTATTAGTTTATAGTACTACGGTAGTAGGCATTTCAATTCCAGGGTAACCCCCTTTTTCTTCCATTCGGACACATACAGATAGGTATGAAGACACCATGACGTTTCCATGCTATACATGTTGTACGCTCCCGACATCGATGGGTTCGTAGATCGTAGATCTATCTCGGGCGGGTTGGGGTCCAGGGGTAGGTAATACGTCCGGTCGTGGGAGACGGAGACCCTTTCAACGCAGAGCGAGCTTACACGGTATTATTCCACGGCTTCGTGGTTACACAGTGTTAGGTGAGATACGTGGCTACGGCTGGGTTGTTGGTTGTTTTGTTTGGAGGGGAGGGAAATGGGATAATTGACGAGTCATCTGCGTTGATTGTTTAGATGGAGGTTTGCATTCGTGAGACTGGCTCGTGGTAGATGTGTTTCCTTGCGTACGGACGTTGCTGCTACCCTCCTACTGCTCTTGGTGCCCATGCCGCATTGCAGAACGTAGCCTTATACATACAATGGATCGCAGATATGCTGTACACGATACCCCCTTGGATGTTTAGGGCTGTGATATGTGGTAGTTTAT